TTCTTGAGGAATTGGGGGTCTATTTTTAGTTGAACTATATTTAAAAATCATATGTTTTGTTAAAAGAATAATGTGATTTAACAGTCGTTCTTCTCCCGCATTGGATCTTTTTATCCTGATATGAATTTCTTGCCAGTGTAGATTTTTTAACGCTGATAAAGCAAAAAGGTCACCGCAGTCCTTCCAAATATTTGCTACCTTTTCACAGGTAAATAAAAACAGATGCTCATAGGTTTCTTCGTGTTTATTGCAAAAGGAGCAAAGATTGCTCACTGCATGTTTGAAAGTGTATAGATGCTTATTTGTATAAATTAAATTATATAACATTTTATATTGAAATTCCCTCAGCTTTCTGTCTAGAGTGGATTTTTGGGGTCTTAAGAAAATTGTTCTCGTGTCATTTTCGACCATATCGTATGTACGTTCTAAGTTGCATGTAGCATAAGATTTTTCCGTTCTCATTTTTAACAATGTACTATAGATATATTTTGATGTTACGTCATGCAAAGAGTGAGGGTTTCCGTTAATAATGAATTCTAAACTTAATTCGGTATCCTCACAAGGATGTTCATATATATTCAAAAGAGTTTTCCATGAGAATAGAATGCCTTCATATAACTGATTTATTATATTTATTTCAATGTTGTTTAAACCCATTTTCTTAAATTTTGTGATAGATTTCAATTCACATTTCTTATCAACAGGCGCGGATCCAGGATTTCTTAGGGGGGAGGGCCCAAATTTCAAATTATTTGTCCCCCCAAAAATCGCAAAGACTCAGCCAGCCGCTGAATAAGCGGGTTGGGGGGGGGGGGGGGGGGGGGGTAAGAGGATTTTTTTTTTTGGGGGGGGGGGGGGGTCCCGAAAGGGAGGGTAAGGTCATCTTTTTTAGGTCATCTATAAGGATTTTTTTTTAAATTGAATTAATTAAAAACAAAAAAAAAAAATCAAAAGGGGGGGGGGGGGGGGTTTCCCCCAAAACATACACAAAACATACAAATAAAAAAACTCAAGGGGGGGGGGGGGTTAACTCCCAACCCCCCCCCCCCCCTGCATACGCGCCTGTGCGAGCCAAATATTGGTACGTAATGACCAGCAGTGATGAACAGCATTGACGTAATGGGGGGGGGGGGGTGCAGGAGAGGGCGATTTTTCCCCTCCATCCTCCGCAAAGTGCCGAAGCTTTTACGTTTCATTAAATTATTAGAGAAAGCAGACGATTCGTTGTACCGTTCTCGACTCTTAATCCTTGTCTGAATTCAGTTTTCCCCTCCCCCCCCCAAGTTTTACGTTTCATTAAAATCATTAGAGAAAGAAGACGATTCGTTGTACCGTTCTCGACTCTTATTCTTCGTCTGAATTCAGTTTTCCCCTCCTCCGTCCCGCGCGGAGCGCGGAAGCTTTTACGTTGCATTAAAATCATTAGAGAAAGAAGACGATTCGATGTACCGTTTTCGACTCTTGATCCTTGTCTGAATTCAGTTTTCCCTCCCCTCCCCCCCCCCTCCCGCGCGAAGCGCGGAAGCTTTTACGTTTCATTAAATCATTAGAGAAAGAAGACGATTCGTTGTATCGTTCTCGACTCTTAATCCTCGTCTGAATTCAGTTCCCGCACCCCCCCGCGCGAAATGCGGAAGCTTTTATGTTTGATTAAATCATTAAAGAAAAAAGACGATTCGTTGTACCGTTCTCGACTCTTAATTCTTGTCTAAATTCAGTTCCCCCCACCTCCTGCGCGTAGCGCGGAAGCTTTGACATTTCATTTAATTATTAGAGAAACAAGACGATTCGTTGTACCGTTCTCGAAAATAATCCTCGTCTGAATTCAGTTTACCCCCCCCCTCCCGCGCGAAGCGCGGAAGCTTTTACGTTTCATTAAATTATTAGAGCAAGAAGACGATTCGTATTACCATTCTCGACTCTTAATCCTTGTCTCAGTTCAGCCCCCCCCCCTCCTGCGCGAAAGTTTTGACATTTCATTAAATTATTAGAGAAAGAAGACGATCGTTGTACTGTTTTCGACTCTTTATCCTTGTCTGAATTTCAAAAATATTTTTTGTCTGCTCCTTTTTCTTCCTACGTCCTCTTCCTTTTCTATCCTCTCTTTTTTTGGCCGGCTTTTTTTTTGGGGGGGGGGGGCGCCCCCTGGCTACGCGCCTGCGGTCAGATTTTGATACATATTTTGATACCTTGGCCGCCCCCGGAAACTCAGGGGTTTAAGGCAATAATAAATTACGGTCAGATAAGCATTCAGGGTCCCGCCGTAGTGCCCCTGGTGGGGTCGAGGGTGCGGAAACTCTCAGGGGTTTTAGGCATTTGATTACGGTCAGATGAACATATTTTTATACCTTATTTGTGACACTGGCAGGACACTGATTGGCGTGAGGTCCAGCGGGCGGAGCCTACAGAAGCTCAAGGGTTTTAGGCACTAAATTACGGTCAGATGAGTATCAAGGGGCCCGCCTTAGGGCCCTTAGTTGGGTCCCGGGGGCAGAGCCCCCGTAAGCTTAGGGGTTTGAGACGTTTAATTACGGTCAGATGAGCATTTTTGATACCTTATTTTGTTGTGACACTGGCAGTTAACTATTCTTTCTTACTTGCTCTCTTTCTTTCTATTTCTTTTTAATATTCTTTAAAAAAAATTCGGGGGGGGGGGGGGGGGGAGCTGGAAGCTCCCGATCCCCGCCGTTCCGCTCGCCCTGATATGTAAGCATCTCAAGGGGCATATTTCTTGCCTGGCTGTAAATTTAGGAATTTGTCATTTTACAACAAACGCATAAAAAAAGTATTTACTAAACAATGACAAAAATCTCGGAAAATTATGTCATTTCGGCATTATGTGTAAACCACCGTTATGGAATTAGAAATAAACCACGATTAAATTTTATTTCCCTCGAGCCCCCCCCCCCCCCTTCCCCCTCCCCCGATCTACACTTTGTTGGCGGAAAAATCGCAACTGATCTCCTCTACCTTTCTTCTTTCTCTTTTTTTCTTTCCATTTCTCTCCTCTTTCCCTTTCCCTTCCCTTCCCTTCCCTTCCCTTCCCTCTCTCTCTTTTAGGTTTGCTGGGGGGGGGGGGGGGGGGGGGGTGAGGCAAAGTCCTTTCGGCCCCCACTCTTTTACACATGTTGTTGGCGGGATTAACCGCAAATGATCTATTTCCCCTTCTTTTCACCCTTTTTTTTCTCTTCCTCTTTTTCGGTCCCTTTTAGCTTTCCTTTTTCCTTTTCCTTCCTTCTCTCTTTTTTTTAAGTGGGGGCGGGGGAAGGCAAGGGCCTTTTGCCCTACCCCCACCCCGATCCAAAACTTGTTGGCGGGAAAATTGCAACTAATACCCCCTTCTTTTCTTTTCTTTTTCCCCAATTTCCTTCCCTTTATCTCCTCTTTTCCTTTTTTCTTTCCATTTCCTTTCTTCTCTCTTAGTTTTTTTTTTATTTGGGGGGGGGGGGGGGAGGCAACAGCCTAGGAGGCGAGGCCCCCCCATCTCCTTCTTCCCCCTTTTGTTTTCTTCTTCCTCTTCTTTCTTTCCCTTTCTCTCCTCTTTCCCTTCTTTTTCCTCTCTCTCTCTCTCTCTCTCTCTCTCTTTTCTCTTTTTTTCCCTTCGTTTTTTTTTTTTCCTTCTTTTTGTTTTCCTTTTTTGTTTCCTTCTCTTTTTCCTTCGTTTTTTCCCCCTTCCCCCTTTTTTTTTCCTTCTTCTTTTTTTTCTCCCAGGGAGGTGGGGGGGGGGGGTCGGGCCCCCCGGCCCCCCCCCCCCCTGGATCCGCCACTGCGCCTAATTACATCTGTTCAGATCCCATGAATGCTTTGATTATGTTGATGTCTTATGGTTATGCCTAACATTTTTAAATTTCTTTACAGAAAATGGCTTCAGTACTGCGGACTCTTGGGTGAGAGGACGTCGGCGGTTTGCCGGTACTCGTTCCACATATGCCCTTTTCGTCTTTCTGATCTGTTGTGTGACGGCCAGCATGCTCCGGTTCCAGTTCCAAGAGATCTTTATTACGTCATCGTTCCTCCAAACTGACGTCATCGAGATGAACATCCTCGCGCAGGCCTCGCGGAAAGGCGGCGTCGTCGAGCTTCCATCTTCGAACCTGCAGCGCCCGGTCAACGACAGACGGTCAGGTGAGGAGTTGCAGTCAGGTGACGTGAAGTCAGGTGATTTTCAAAGTCATGATCCCAACCAGCCTGAAGCAGTCATATCACTTCACGCACCGCCTATCCAACATGGTGGATCCAACCACGTAAAACACAAAAGACATCACAGTTCTTCCAAGCATCATAAATCACATAAGCATTCGAAGAGGAAGGAGCTGGATCTCGATATCGATGTCAGCAAACTCCATTTCCCCAACACGGAGACGCTTTTGAAGTTCCAATCGAGGAACGTCGTCTCGCCTAAGTTATATAAATCACATTGGAGCCCCAACCGTGATTCGGGCCTACAGAATGGAAACCGAGAGAAGGAGGCAATATTTGTGAAGGATATTGTCTACCCTAGCTTGCTCGAAGCAAACAACACTGCTCCATTCAAGGCTGGCCTTGTTATAGACAAGTCCATCTATGGGCTGACGAGGGTCGAAGCTTTTCTCGCCGTGTTGGCGATTTTCCATGTCCGGGACTACCGTGCGGAGTTCGTCTCGTGGTCGACAATGAGTTCGAGACCCTGAAGAGCAGCGACGCCGTGGTTTTGTTTCATCGGACGAAGTTGGACTGGGCGGAGCTGCATCGCCATAAACCGCGGGGACAAAAGTGGATATTTTACACCCAAGAGAACCCTATCAACACAGACAAGCACGTCATACCGCAGAAGGAGTTCTACAACAACAGCTACGATTACATCATGTCGTATCGGTTTAGGGAATCTCATCTTTACGGATCTTACGGCCGCTACAACACGGATCACCCCGAGATGAAGTTCACGGAGATGAGAAACTGGGCGTCGCACAAGACCAGGCTGTCGCCTGGGTTGCCTCCAACTGCAACATTGTCTCATGGGACCGTAAAGGGTTCGTAAATGCGCTGTCCAGGTACGTTCCGGTGAGCATGTACGGGAAATGCGGCACAAAGGATTGTCCGAGGGACGAAAGATGCAACCGGAGTATCCGCAAGCACAAGTTCTACTTAGCCCTAGAGAACAGCCCCTGTCGGGATTACATATCTGAGAAGCTCTGGCGGAATGCTCTTCTCAACAACCTCGTGCCCGTCGTCTACGGGGCTTCGAAGGAGGACTACGAACGCGTTCTACCGCCCGATTCGTTCATACACGTCGAGGACTTCGATTCAATCAAGGAACTAGCCCTGTACTTGCGGAAACTCAGCAAGGACGAGGGTCTGTACAACACGTACTTCGAGTGGAAGAAGTTCGGCTGGGTGCAGCTCACCATCGAAGAGTATCTCCTGGAGCCCGAGCAAGTGTGTGAGAACATCGTGTCGAGGCTCCTGAGTGATGAGAAAGCCATGAGGGAAGGGACATACCACAAACCAAAGTTCCCGGATTGGAATGAGTGGTGGACGAACTCGTGCAAGAAGAACGTGAAGTGGCCAATCAAATTAAAATGAATAGACCTGAAACTGAGCGCGATTTTAAATGAAAAGAAAGAGGAAAGTTTCTTTATGAAAGGAGATTCAAAATGTGGAGATGAAGAATAAATGGCAAGGCTAGATAATAGGGATATACAGTAGGCTTGCGGGTGCACCATGATTGTGAGAGAGAGGAGGATTGAGGAGTCCCGAAAAGGACTCTCGTTAATCTTTCTTGAGGGTTTGTAGTCCTGAAAAGGACTGTTGGTGTAGTCTTGAAAAAGACTGTTGATTATCTTTCTAAGCTTATAGTTCTAATGAGAACTATAGCTCTTGGAGAGGATGGGTGGCGGGAGTGGCTCTTAGGGATAGGTGAGAGAGGATAAACTAATCATTGTTTTAGAAATTCGACGTATGAATTGCACCTGGATAATATTATGAATAGAAGGCTACGTGAAAGAAACAGAGCAAGGGTGAAAACACTTAAACAATCCTTCAATCGCTAAATCACTGAAATATTATTGATGCCTTTTTAAAAAAAACTTGGTTGTTTTTTAAAATCTTTTTGGAACCTTTATAACACGAACAATAAAAAACAAAACAGAATGCTGAACAAACAAATTCTAATGAGTTGAATGAAATCTGAAAATCTAAGGACTTTTCTTTTGGGGGAGGGGGCCAGGGCTTGTTGGAAAACGTTTGGGTATATCTCCATATAGGATTCGACCCCGCCCCCTTCTTCAGAATGGTCTCACGACGCCTCTGCATGCGCTAAGAACTTTCAACCAATCACGGCCCTCTAAATTAGGTACAGTTTTGCGCCCTCGACGGTTGTTCACCATAGCGGGAAAATTTACCTGCACATTTGTTTAATGTAGATGTACTCCGTCTTGATATGTCACCGGGCGGAGTTATTTTTTTTTCTGCGGCACAGATTGGGGTTTTTTTTTTAAAAGAGGTCTTGATTTAACCCTAACCCTAACCCTAACCCTAACCCTTACCCTAAACTTTCCCATAGGCTCAACACACACCTAACCCCAATCTGTGCCGCAGAAAAAATAACGCCACCGGGCGCGGATCCACAATGGGGGCCCAAAACAGATATAAAAATTAATCTGTACTTTTGTCGGAAAAAACAAACAAATCCAGCACAATGTCGTCTCTGTTTGCATTGGAGAAGAGCAACATAGCTAGTTTCAATCACACTTCGGCTGCTCTCGGAAGCTCTCACTCGGTCTTAATTGTCGTCAAACAGTTTTGGGTGAGCGGCTAATGAATATACTAATCGTTAGCTTTTTACTGGTATTAAACTTGTTTTGATTGGTTGTATATTTTTGTCGGACCGGGAATACAGGAAACAGACTAATAATCTTCAGCGTCTAAAGTCCCGGATGCAATTAGCGTAAATAAATAGTTTCTAATGACGTCATCATCGCTAAATCGGCGTCTTGTATCGTAAAATGCTACACTTTCACAATGTGTAATTATTAATAAAATACAACATTATTTTTTCTGATACTAATGAAGTTTTGGGTTTTATTTAATGAGTTATTTTGAAATAAGAGACTTTTTTCTGTTTTGATTTACTGGATTGTACCATTGAAGTGGCAGGGTGGAAATATGCATTTTCCAACCGTTCCAAGTTTAACTTACGTACCGTCATTTTGCTTAATGAGTTATGGATGCTTCCTTCCCCGGGATCCTTCCCAGGTGTTTTGCGGTGTTGAAGCGTTTCATTCACCTGCTATTATAGTCGTTGTACTCCAATTGCCAGAACGCACATTTCATTTTGTTTTAAGAGTTTCATTCAACAAGTTAATCAAAGAAATACTATGTTCTGCATAACAAAAACAATGCGTGTCCCTATTTTACATGTAAAGTGCCTCTTCCCTCAATGCGTCATAGTTAATTTACCCATTCGCATGTTATACTACCTGCCCGATGAAGCCATTTTGTGGTCCATTTCCATTTTCGGTCTAATCTCCAATAAGTTAATTTACTTCCCATTTTGTTGTTGTTGTTGTTGTTTTAGTTTATAGGCGTTTGTCATTCAGAAGTGAATATTTACGCCTCTTCTCTTAGGATTTTTATTCCTTTAAAATTAGATTTCCTTTTTTTGATATATAGATTTGGATAAATTGGATTTTTAAAAGCTAAACTTTTGTTTAATGTTGAAGAATTCAGTGGCTTGCGAGCAAAAGGCTTATTGGCTATATAGGACGCCCAAGGACCAGCTCGGACACGGTACGTTGTGACAAGCTTCTCAACTCAGCCTAATGCTGAGCCTAGGCCCTCCGACGTCTACCAATATGTCTAGTCGTCTCCACCGCGTTTCTTCAAAATTTTGTCCGAAAACCAATTAAAAACAGATTATATACATGAAGATTCTATTTAGTCTAATTTCCACTCGTTCTATTTCCCAGTTTGTCTTCATGCCCATTTTGTCTAATATCTTTATGGTCTAATACTCATAATAATAATCATCAATTGATTATTAACTACATGTGGATGGTAGAATGGCTGGGTGTATTATGGGAATAGACTAATTGGGCAGTAGACAAACTGGTGGTATAGACCAAACGGCAATACACCCATTTTTTATTCCACAACATCACATACTTTACCTATTCTTTTGTGGCATATTCAACTTCTTCAACTGCCTCTAGACACTTTCTTTCAAGGTGTAATAGGTGTTTATAGCACTCAGCTTTATCTTGAAGGACTCACAGTCAAACCTGCTTTAGTGACCACCTGTCTACCAAGACCTCCTGTCTACAACAAGCACATTTTGTTTCCCTTGAAAATGGTTTCTCATTGAAACATGTACTAAATAAACATGTCTACAACAAGCACATTTTTTGTGTGTCCCTTGGGCGGTCGATGTAGACACGTTTGACTGTATAATATATTTACATACAAATTAAAAAAAGCAAGGGGGGGGGGGGGGATTGCATTGTCTACCTTGAAAATTAAATGGCACGTGGGAAAGTTATGGGAAACGGAGGCATACATATCGTGTACAGCATGATTTGACATCTCTTATTTACTTCTTTTTTTGTTCATTTCAGTAGATTTCGTAAAAATATGGAAAACTGCCCAAATTAACAGCAGGTCAACCAACTAGACAAAAGTGACTATGCGGTGTTTGTTTTTATTTTTTTAATTGTTTTAATATAACAAATACTGAGAATAAAAACTTCGTTACAAACAACTTGTAAAAAAATTAAAAGAATATAGTTACATGTGCAAGTAAAACATGGAGAGAGAGAGAGAGAGAAGAGAGAGAGGGGGGGGGGGGAGAAAATGAGAAGTGACGCAGAAAGTGTGCGAAAGAACGGGAAGGGGAGGGGGGAGAGGCTAAAGTTCGGAAAAGGTGACAGAGAGAAAGAGATAGAAAAAACGAGAGAGCGAAAATAAGAAAAAAATTAACGTGCATTCTGCGTGGGTTTGTGAAAGTGAGTGTGAGAGGGGAAGGGTGAAATAATTATGGCCGGGAAGGGTGAAAGAGATTGAAAGAGAGAGAGAGAGAGAGAGAGGAGAGAGAGAGAGAGAAAGAGCGAGAGGGGTGGGAAAGAGGGGAGTAAAGACCAGGACCTACTACAGTCAGATTGGCAGAAAGACAGGAGACAATGGCTAGAAAGGGGAGCGATTTGAAATTAGCAAACAGCAGCAATCATTTTTCATTATTGATTCAAAAGGACAGGTTATCTAGACAAAAATTGTAAAACGCGCCAAGAATTCTCCACGACTCCTTACGACTCGTTCAAATCATAATTGACATTTCTGCCCGACAAACAATAGAAGAACAGGTACAGATTTGTTTTACCTTTAGACTTACATCTTGACTCCCGCCCAAAATCGTCGCACCACAAGGCCTTTTCGGGTTATTGTGTAACGCGCTGTCCAACAAAATATTATTTATCCATAATATAAGCTGGAAACATCTTTGCAAAGCCTTTAGTTTCTTAATTTTGTGTCGCGCAGGAACAGCGTTTGATGGAATATTTCCGGCCTTCGAAAAGGGTAAGTATTTGCATTTTACGTTTAGCTTTATGAACATTACATTAATAATATTTATCAATTGGATGTTTTGATCATACCATAAAATTATGTTTAAGATTAGTTACACATTATAATATTGTATTCGTAATCTTTCTTCTTGCGTTATTTATCTTTGTTTTCAAATCCTTTGATTCTTATGTTATATATTAATATGTGTTCAATTTGTACTTATTAATTCTGTAGATATTTTATAAACGTTATTTTTATTGTGTAGAGCCCTTGGTGAAAGCAGTTTGTTTACTGAAGAGGCAACCCTACTTAAATAAACTATAATAAATAAATGTATTATGAATATCTTTATTCATATCTCCTAATTCATGTTATGTATACTGTGTATATGCTAATGAAACGGAATGGTAAAGTCAAACGGGGAAAAAAAAATTAATCGAGTAACTCCAGGCTATTCTATCCCACAAATCTTGTATTTTGGTATACCTGGGTCCCATATTATCAAGTTTCTATCGCAACTCCTGAAGTCTGAGATTGATATCATCTTTTTATAAAATGGAATCAATATCACTTTTGAAATCGCGATTGTTTTGGAGACTTACGATTGATTCGGATCAATCGCAACTCTTTTCAAATCTAAAGATTGTGGGTTTTCTAGCTGATACTCCTCTGACAGACACTGACAATAACTTGCAGAGAGCGCGCAAAGCGCGCTCCCTAGGTGTGGGTGCAAAGAGGGGGGGGGGGGGGGGGGGGTTCCCCCTCCCGCGCAAAAGCGCGGAAGCTTTTGACGTTTCATTAGATTATTAGAAAAAGAAGACGATTCGTTGTACCGTTCTCGACTCTTAATCCTTGTCTAAATTCAATTTTGAGAACGGTACAACAACCCGACTTCCGCAAGGCGCGGAAGCTTTGACGTTTCATAAAATTATTTGCGAAAGAAGACGATTCGTTATACCGTTTCGACTCTTAATCCTTGTCTGAACTTAATTCTTGTCTGAACTTAATTAAGCCCCCCCCCCCACCCCGCGAAGCGCGGAAGCTTTCATTTTTACATTTATATTATTAGAGAAAGAAGCCGATCGGTTTATACAGTTCTCGACTCTTAATCCTTGTCTGAATTCAATTTTGAGAACGGTACAACAACCCGCTTTGACGTTTCATTAAATTATTAGAGAAACATGATGATTTGCTGTACCGTTCTCGACTCTTTATCCTTGCCTGAACAACTTAAAGTCCCCCCCCCCCCCCGCGATTCGCGGTAGCTTTCATTTTGCATTAAATTATTTGAGAAAGAAGACGATTCGTTATACCGTTCTCGACTCGTAATACTTGTCTGAACTTAATTAAGCCCCCCCCCCCCCCTCCTCCGCGAAGCGCGGAAGCTTTCATTTTACATTTAATTATTATTATTATCTCGACTCTTAATCCTTGTCTGAATCAAATTTCCCCCTCCCGCCCAAAGCGCGGAAGCTTTGACGTGTCTTTAAATTATTATAGAAAGAAGTCAAATTCGTCGTACCATTCTCGACTCTTAATCCTTGTCTGAATTCACCTCCCCCCCCCCCCCCCCCTCTCGCGCGAAGCGCGGAAGCTTTGACGTATCATTAAATTATTACAGAAAGAAGACGATTCGTTGTACCGTTCTCGACTCTTAATCCTTGCAGATTAATACCTAAGCGTCAAATCCAATACACTTCACAAGAAACCAAAAATGACTAGCCAGAAATGCCGCTGATATTTCGCAAAATAATTTATCGGTGACGGATGCATTTATATTTTTAAAGTGTAATATTAAAAATTAAACTGAATATTGTGGAATGTTACAAAATTATGCAGGCCTTCCTAATGTAACTATAGGGGTTGCGATTCGCCCTCTTGCGAGTGGCCTAACAGAAAGGGGAAATATACTTTTCAATCCCTTCAACTTTTACCAACATTTAGACGTCTGTTTGAGCCAGAAGGGTACCAACTCTGTATGAAGGATAATCATGTATCGTAATACTTCTAAGATTCCCTAGGAAACTTTAGAGGCTCGTAAATGTTAGAAAAAACACAGTATCAGGTACAATCTTGCACCCCTGTATGTCCTGCTATGTATGCCGATCGAACAGCGGTCACTGGGCAACCACCCCTATATCAAGTCTATATACCTCTCAATTAGGCAATTGTAGTATTACTATCCCTGTTGTCACAGGGGAAATTGTTCTAAGGGTAACGTTGTCCTAGTGGTAGCTGTCCGAGGGGTGTTGTCTGGACCGAAAGTCCAATAGTCGTCCTAGAATTGCATAACATGTTCATTTTTTTTCATTTAATTTCATTTCATTTTAAAAGAAGGTTTCCTTTTTCAGATAATACCATGGCGGTGAGGCGATGGTCTTGGAAAGCACACGCTTGTTTGAAGACGCCTAATTGCATCCGTTTCCCCATGACTGCTTTGATTATGTTGATGTCTTATGCCTAACATTTGTATAATTCGTTACAGAAAATGGTTTCAGTACTGCGGACCCTTGGGGTGAGTGGCCGACGGTCGCTTGACGGTAGTCGTTCCACATACGCCCCTTTTGTCTTTCTGGTCTGTTGTGTGACGACCAGCATGCTCCGGTTCCAGTTCCAAGAGATCTTTATTACGTCATCGTTCCTCCAAACTGACGTCATCGAAATGAACATCCTCGCGCAAGCCTCGCGGAAAGGTGGCGTCGCCGAGCTTCCATCTCCGAACCTGCAGCGCCCGGTCAACGACAGACGGTCAGGTGATGAGTTGAAGTCAGGTGACGCAAAGTCAGGTGATTTACAAGGTCATGATACCAAACAGCCTAAAGCAGTCATGTCACGTGGATCCAACCACATCAAACACAAAAGACATCACAGTTCTTCCAAGCATCATAAATCACATAAGCATTCGAAGTGGAAGACGCTGGATCTCGATATCGATGTCAGCAAACTCCATTTCCCGAATACGGAGACACTCTTGAAGTTCCAATCAAGGAACGTCGTCTCACCTAAGTTATATAAAGCACATTGGAGCCCCAACCGTGATTCGGGCCTACAGAATGGAAACCGAGAGAAGGAGGCAATATTAGTGAAGGATATTGTCTACCCTAGCTTGCTCGAAGCAAACAACACCGCTCCATTTAAGACTGGGCCTTGTTATAGACAAGTCCATCTATGGGCTGACGAGGGTCGAAGCTTTTCTCGCCGTGTTGGCGATTTTTCATGTGCGGGACTTCCGTGCGGAGTTCGTCTCGTGGTCGACAATGAGTTCGAGACCCTGAAGAGCAGCGACGCCGTGGTTTTGTTTCATCGGACGAAGTTGGACTGGGCGGAGCTGCATCGCCATAAACCGCGGGGTCAAAAGTGGATATTTTACACCCAAGAGAACCCTATCAACACAGACAAGCACGTCATACCGCAGAAGGAGAGTTCTACAACAACAGCTACGATTACATCATGTCGTATCGGTTTAGGGAATCTCATCTTTACGGATCTTACGGCCGCTTCAACACGGATCACCCCGAGATGAAGTTCACGAAGAGGAGAAACTGGGCGTCGCACAAGACCAGGCCTGTCGCCTGGGTTTCCTCCAACTGCAACGGTACTGTCTCATGGGACCGTAAAGGATTCGTGGATGCGCTGTCCAGGTACGTTCCGGTGAGCATGTACAGGAAATCCGGCACAAAAGATTGTCCGATGGACGAACGATGCAACCGGAGTATCCGCAAGCACAAGTTCTACTTAGCCCTAGAGAACAGCCCCTGTCGCGATTACATCTCTGAGGAGCTCTGGCGGAATGCTCTTCTCAACAACCTCGTGCCCGTCGTCTATGGGGCTTCGAAGGAGGACTACAAACGCGTTCTACCGCCCGATTCGTTCATACACGTCGAGGACTTCGATTCCATCATGGAACTAGCCCTGTACTTGCGGAAACTCAGCAAGGACGAGGGTCTGTACAACACGTACTTCGAGTGGAAGAAGTTCGGCTGGGTGCAGCTCACCACCGAAGAGTATCTCCTGGAGCCCGAGCAAGTGTGTGAGAACATCGTGTCGAGGCTCCTGAGCGATGAGAAAGCCATGAGGGAAGGGACATACCACAAACCAAAGTTCCCGGATTGGAATGAGTGGTGGACGAACTCGTGCAAGAAGGGCGTGAAGTGGCCAATCAAATTGAAATGAACAAACCTGAAACTGAGCGCGATTTTAAATGACACAAATGAGGACAGTAATGTTTCCTTATAGAACGAGATTCAAAATGTCGGGATGAAGATTATTAATCACAAGGATAGAGAATAGGTTTAGGTGAGGGAGGAGAAGACTGATATCATTGTTCTAGGAATTCGCCGTATGAATTGCACCTGGGAGGTGTTTCACAAAGATCCTAAGTTGAACTTATCTCTAAGTTGGACTTAAATATTATGGAGAGCCATTTGTAGCCTTAAAATAAAATATGTTAAAAGCGAAAATTCAAGTATTTTAGACTTTTTATAAATTCCACATCAAGAACATGAATTCTCCTTGATAACAGAAAATTATGAATGATTTGAATCAACATTTTATGCCTCTTAAAAAAACTTTTACAAAAATTTTCAAAGATGCTAACGGCTTTCCATAATTTTTAAGTCCAACTTAGAGATAAGTTCAACTTAGGATCTTTGTGAAACACCCCCCAGGACTTAAACAGAAGGCTACGTTAAAGAAACGGGCAACCATGGAAATAATAAAACAATTCTTCAAATCACTGAAATATTATTGATGTCTATTTTAAAACTTGTTTGGTCTTTGAGTTTTATGGGAACCTTTTTGAAACAAACAATAAACGAGGAGGCGCGATCGCTCAGTCGGTAGAGCAGTGGTCTCGTAATCCGGTCACCCGGGTTCGAAACCAAATCGATGCGCTGGTGCCCTTTGGTAACTCATTAATCCTTATTACCAGGTCTCTCGGAGAGGACTAAATCCGTCGGCCGTCTGGTTGCTTACTTACAAGCAATTATGCTTTCTTAGCAGTCAGATAAAATAACCACCATCATTCATTCTTTCATATTCAAGTAAAAAGATGAACAAACAAAATCTGATGAGTTGAACAAAATTTCTCCCCCCCCCCCCCCCCCCCCCCCCCCCCCCCCCCCCCCCCCCCCCCCCCCCCCCCCCCCCCCTCCTTCAGAATGGTCTCACGACGCCTCTGCATGCTCCAAGAACTTTAAACCAATCACGGCCCTCCAAATAAGGTACAGTATGCGCCCTCGACGGTCGTTCACCATACATAGCGGGAAAATTTACTTGCACAATGTTTAATGCTGATTACTATGTCTTGAAATGTCACTGATATGAATTAATACATCACGGTCATAAAGAATAACTACCACTATTTTCTACTAAATTCATTCAAATCTCAATTATTATTATTATTATTATTTTATTTTTTTAACCTTCGTTTCCATCAGCTTCTGGAAGAGAATGAAGATGCGCTTCATTTTTGAAAGGCAAACACTTACTGTTTATCAAAACAAATGGGGAGATTATCTGTTCATATTTTTTTAAGGTAAATAATGCGAATAATTTAGTTAAATGAATGCAGCATGTGTTCAATTAAGCTCCAACTTTAAAACAATAATTTTTTTCTTTTTTTTAAATGATATTTTATTTCCTTCCTCATAATTTCACATAACAAGAAATTATCAAAATTAAGCAATATAAAACAAGATCTTTGATACAAGACATTTCATGAGTTACATCAATCAATAAACATAGAAAAAAAAAGGGGGGAAAAAATTCTTGCATGTAACAGTGTATAATCAAAATAACCGTAGAGGAAGGTTTAAAGTGTAGATTTTTTGTTTTAAATGATATTTTATTTCCTTCCTCATAATTTCACATAGCAAGAAATTCACATAACAAGAAATTATCAAGATAAGCAATATAAAACAAGTTCTTTGATACAAGACATATCATAAGTTACATTAATCAATGAACATAAAGGGGAAAAAAAGGAAGAAAAAAAAAAGTCTTGCATGTATCAGTGTATAATCAAAATAACAGTAGAGGAAGGTTTAAAGTTACATATTACCATCCTATCACAACACTCTCACACCCCCCCCCCCCTCTAGCCCACCCACACCACACCCCCTTTCACACACATAAACAACCATACAAACACAAACACACACTGCATGCAACCTGTTCCCTCAACTCACATCACACAGACTCTTCACCCCCCCCCCCCCCCCAGCCCACCCATCTCACACACCTTTCACGCCGACACACACGCTGCATGCAACCTGTTCCGGTTTGTCCACCTGTACACGAGAGAGAATTAATAATACTACTAATAATAATAATACCCACATAATACCCACGTCCATTAAGGTAAAAAATGCATCGATTTGTTCCCATTTCTGTAAGTGCATCCCCAGTTTCCCCTTTTTGAAGGCTATTTTGTATTCCTCGTCTCTGTAATTTTTAAGCATTATGTACTGTTTTCTGTACAGATGGCAAAGTTTCTTCTTTTCTAGAAATAAAAATGATATACTTTACTAAAAATATGATACAATTTATTACAAATATTCTAGTAGTATTTCCGGATATTCCCATAAATATGGGTTTCCAATCATCAATGTCAATTTCGATTAAATGTAACTTTTGAATTACCTCCTGCCATAATCTTTTAACTTTAAGACAATCTAAAAATAAATGTTGGTATGTCTCTACTTCTAGTCCACAAAAGGAACAAAAATGGTCTGACTCAAAACCAAATTTAAAGAGCTCTCTTTTCGTATATACAGCCCCTTGTAATTGTTTGTATTGAAACTCTCTATGTATATTACAAAGCATTGCACCTTTCATCCTTGTGAATGTTTATTTCAACTCCGTCATTCCAAGATCAAATTGACAGTTGCCATCTGTAACATGTAATGTATACTCTTTTTGAAGGTCTTCAATGAAGTAATCATATAACCGCCTAGATTTTATATCACATAGTTTCTGTAAACGTCCATATATCATCAATTCTATTTCAAAATTTTCAATGTCCACTTCCATAAAATCACTTTGTATCCATTCGTTTCTGATTGCTGAAAAGATCTTTTGAATTCTAAGCAAGCTTTTAGTTGCAAAACCCTGTAAATTATGCAGTTTTGCGCCCTCGACGGTAGTTTTTTAATATACAGGGTATTCAAATCAACTTGTGCATACATATAGATGGATCATGGATAGATGTAATCTTTCCTGATGGCGAAGGGGGGGGGGGGGTGGTATGGGCACATGCCAAGGACGGGGCTTGGAGGATACATTAACAAAATGTCAAAGAGATAAGAAGAGACCAAATAAAGTACCTTTATTATTTATGCGCCCCTAATACACAGTGTTAAAGACTTTTTTGAGAGTTTGAAATGAGAAGAAAAAGATTCGCGTTTAAATATTTTGCTTCAAGATCTCATAACTTCGCGCGCCTTATAATCAATATGAAACGTTTTCATAGGGTTCAAAATTTGGGGAAGAAGTAATTTTCGTTGCTTTTGCTATTTCAATCTCTTCATTGAAGTCTCTTGAAACCCCACTGCTGATGACATTGTATCAATTCATTTATTTTCATTTTTTATATCATTTATTTCCGCAATAACAGCAAATACAATTTTAAAATTCCAATTAAAATACTAACAAACGATGAAATATACATAGGCCTAATATGGTACGTTTGTCACCTGAAATACGAGTTTGTAACAACCTTTTGTTTTTTAAAAAGAAAATGAAGGAATTATTTCTCTCAAAATATGCTCGTTAACTTTTGAGGTACATTGTGTATAGTGCTAGTTAATGTCAAGAAGAGGCATTGTGCATTTCCTTGTTTTTGCTTGTTATTCAAATACGTTAAGGGGCATGTTTTTTGTATTTTGTTTTATTTTGCAACGAAGAATGTCTTATTTTTAAGCTATGTTCTAATTACCGAACAAGGATCAACTATTTTATTTTAGGGACGTTGCGCTTCAAACATTTGTTGTTTATGCATTGTTCCTACTATGTACTATATCTCAATGTAACCCACTGTATTTTATTATCTGTAAACAGCTATTTTACATGGTGAATAAATAAAACAAACAAACAATGCAGTTAAAGTATAACATCAGGTCCATGATAACATTGAGACTAAGCAGATACTTGCTTGCTGTACATATTGCGGAGGAAACCTTGGAAAGCACAGCTTGTAATTTAGTTTTTCTAAATTATCTATTTTAATACAGAGTCGCATAAAGCGTGCCATTATTATTTACAGAAATCATTCAAGTTCAAACTTTTGTTTTAACTTTCGTTTCCAGTTTCTAAAAGACAATGACCATTCACAATATTATGAAGGGCAAGAAGTAACCCTGCAATTATCAGTTCGATTAATTGTTTACCGAAACTGCTCGGGAATTATTTTCTATTGAATATTTCAAGGGAAATTTTTTAATTGCGTTAATTAGGTTAATTGATGTCATTTATTCAATTCTGCTTCAAATAATCCACGAGGTGATAATAACAATAAAGAATACTTAGGAGTGCCAATTATATATAATAAGCACCATAACGCTTACATGAAATTCAGATACAGGTGTATATGAAAAGAGGTAAAAAAATGTATAGTCTCACAGGTAATAGAATCACATAGATCACTGGTATATAACGTTTTGTAATTTTCTAGTGAGCAATGCTACCTCTGCCCCAGATTATCGCTCAGTATTTGATTTTATTTTGATTTATTTTCTTCAGCATTCCATACATATATATATATATATATATATATATACAATTTATAGTAGCATAACAAAGTTAACGTAAAAATATAAAAAGTACTTTCTGACAATATGTATATATATATATATATATATATATATATATATATATATATATATATATATATGTATATGTATGTATATGTGCGTATATATGGATATATATCTATAAAAAAAAGTTTAAGCTCACTTCCTTATTTTGTATTCATTATGTATCATGACTATATTGTTTATCTTATGAATTGTTTTGTTTATTATCTTTGTAAACACATTTTATATTATGTATTGTATTATTTTGAACGCAGAAATAAAAGCAAACAAACAAACAAACAAACAATGAGTCATAAAAATAAGCAAATGTACGTCACAATTAGTATAGAAAAGGGAAAGATAGAATGTCAAATTATCTGATTTCATCAAACTTTATAAAGACTAATTTGTGGAAAAACTACTATTGTATGCAAATTGCTTGAAAATGTGACAGCCTAAAACAAATCTTATGAAATAGATGAACAAATTTATTAAGCAAAATGGACAAATAAAATTACTATTGAAGGCATGTGTAACATAATAGGGTAACGATGATGATGTTGATGATGATGATGATGATGACGATGATGATGATAACGATGTGGAAATAAGACTGATGTATGGTTATATCAACAACTTTTGATGTCATATTATTTACTTTGAATTTTCTTTACTAAAGGCTTTATCCAATTCATAATGGTTTATGGTCTCCGAAATTAAATGATTAAAGTAGAGGTGTTGTCATAATGGTATAGTGGATAAGACTACCGACTGAGATCAAGTATCTATCTTCTTTTTGTTGTAATTTAGCTGGTGAATATATGATTATGTTGTACACCTGGGGGGGGGGTGTTTTACAAAACTTGTCATCAGTGACAAATGACAGTTGTTGTTATAAGCTAGTGAAATCCTTGCTTCTGATTGGTTATCAACAGATTTATCACTGATATTTGTCATTTCAGTATTGAAATTGTCCTTGAGTTGATTTATACAAAAATAGCTGCGATTGTATTAATATGTGCAGATAATTTATATTTACGAATTAAGCAATAAAATTGCCCGTCCCCCCCCCCCCATCACTCAGTATTATTTAGGGTATGCGTATGCATGTTCCCTCCTTTTGAAAACACCCCCTAAGTACGGTGTGTAAAGTCAATACGGGCCGGATTTTTGTGTACTACGAGCCGGACTTTGGTGCGTGAACAGTACCCCTTTACCTGACATTTTGGGAACACGCATGCGGTCCCTCCGACCCGGAGTTGGGGGGGGGGGCGGGTAAAATAGGCAAGTCCAATAAGTTAACTCGTTTTGTACCCCATGAATAATCAGCTATTGTGGAGCGTAAGTGACCATGGAAGTATAATTTCCGAGTTGCTTTTGTCCATACTGAGTGGACCTATTAAGTCATCACGGTCATCAACTATATACTTTTGTCTCTGTTGTGTAGTTGGTAATTAATAAAAAAATACTTGATCAACGGTTCCTTATAAATCCTCATTTCAATTCGTCATGCCAACACAACCTGGAAAAAGGGCAGTTACTGTATTGATACAAAAAATGCAATTTCGAGAGAAAATGGTGTTTAAAAAAAAAATCCAGAGAGAGATAGAGAGAGAGAGGTGTCAAGCTTAAGGGTACTAGTGGGTAGAGAGTTGGAGAGAGAGGGATAGAGCCGAGGGAATGTTAGAGAGACTAGACGAGAGAGGGGGTCAATGTAGAGTCGGCCCTGTTTGAAATTGATGAAGCAAGGGTCATTGAAAATATCTACAAGTTTAATTTCATAAAATGATACAACAGAGTTTTTGACTCCTGAATGAATCCGTAACATCCAACCGCCCCCCTCCCTCCGCCCGTCTCCCCAGTTTCGCAGTATGGCAAAAAATTGCAAGAAGTCTAAATTTTCACAACGCCATCTAGTGGTTGCACAATAACCATGTCATATGACTTCATTTCAGGTGGCTCATGGTGTTAACGCACTTTTGGCTGTTAGCATAAGAATATTCACTCCCTCCGAAACGAATGTGTATTACTAGTAGTATGAATGGGGAGGGGGACTTTTAGGACATTATACTGAAAAACAATAAGAAATCAAATAAGAAAGAATATACTATTTGGCGCTGCCCATTTCTGTTAGGTAGAATTGAGTTTAAATGTCAGCCTGTTGACATATAGGCCTGCACATATAGGCGTAAGACTAGCAACAGTCTCATATTTTGCCAGGAGGGGCTCGAATATATGATTTTGTATTTTTCCTACATAAAGGGTTAAAACGAATCTGTGAGCCCACGTCACAAAAAAATAGCCCATATTCCTGTGCAGTAAATCAAATCAGAGGCAGGAGGTCCCAGGTTCGTAACCAAGTCGCTGCACTCATGACCTTTAAAATATGGCATTAATCCTCATTACTAAGTCCCTCGGAGAAGACTTAAAGCCGTCGGCCCCCTGGTTGCTTAATTACAAGCATTCTAATGCTTTCTTAGCAGTCACGTAAAAAAAAAAATCTTTGGGGATAGGGAAGTAGGTAGAATAACATAACACAAATACTCCAAGGCTATACTATAAATCATGTAGAAGATTTTTTTTAGGGGGCGGGGTCTGCAAGCATCAGGGCCGTAGCAAGAGTTTGATGTTGTTGTTGTTGTTGATGTTTTTTTTTTTTTTTGGGGGGGGGGGGGCACATACATGTAATTGATCGACGTCCTGGAAAGGGGTGTAACTTGACAAGTTCAACCGATCTTGGATTTTTTTTTTGGGGGGGGGGGGCACGTGCTCTATGATCTATCCTCTCTTACACATGATCTATCCTCTCTTACACATGATCTATCCTCTCTTGGAAGCCGTAAGGCCAACAGGGTGTTGAGACAATAAACAGCAATGTAGCACCATATTTTAGAAGGGGAGGACAGTGCAGAGTGCATACAAAATTAATGAGGGCAGCCGGAAGAAAACAACAACTGTTGAGCCCAATTAATCAAGTAGGGATGGGAGGGGGTTCATTGTGGTACTTTACAAACGAACTACATAAGACCAACTAACAAAAATAACGAGTTTCGTCCCCGCCCGTCTCCTTTTTGGCTGCCGCTTTTTTTAATTTTTTTTTTTTACTGTTTCTGAATATTGAAACTTGCTATTGGCGAGTGGACTAATTTACTAAATGATACAAATCATTTGTTTTGTCATACATTGCATCAGTATAGTCAAAGAGCACAATATATGTGAATAAATGTACCTTGCCAGCTATAAGCATAACGCCAATGAAAAAAAGTGGGGGGAAATAGTGAATAGTAATGCCCTGCCTCCTCCTTTTTTGAAAAAAAAGTCTGGACTAGAAACTCTTCAATTGTTGTTATTTGGCCTAATCGTCTTCGAAATAAGTGCAGAATGAACTTCTCTTCAATCCTTACAGATAAATTCTTCGATCACTGGTCGCATTAGGTGACCAAGTAATGACTAATAATTAAACACATCGATTCATATTATTATTTTTATTATTTATTTTTTTTCAAAGTTCAAAGCCGTAAGTGGCATAACATTTTTTTTTTTTTAATTTTTTTATTTATGTAAATCATCAAAAATCACAATATTTACAAAAGATTTACATGATAAGATTATAAAATCTTAAAACACCAACAACAACAACAAATTCATATTAATTTTAACATCGACATTGCAACTTTTTTTCTTCTCAATCCATTATTAAATGTGTTTAAAAATACTATGAATTACTAGAACGAATTTCTAGAGGGGGGATGTGCAGTTGAAGTATCCGATCCAAGAGCTCATCACGTGCCTATCGCAACTTGCTAGACGAGGAAAAAAATTACGCCACCGAGTGACACTGCGAGCTATCGCTTTCCTCCGCTGAAGATCCCCGGTACACTATTGATCAGCTGCTGTTACTTTACGTGAATTGAAAGGAGGAGTCTACTTCTGAAAAAGTCATCTCACGACAAAGTTGTCTCTTTCCTTACTCTTGTGATCAGAAAAGGATAAAAGAAAATCGTCAATATGAAGCTTACTTGTATCTTCTTAGTGCTCATTGGTAAGATTTATTATTAAGATTGGGAATTGTTCTTGACAATGAAATAATCGTGGAAAGGGAAACGAAAATCGAAATCGGCTCAGGCAACTAAGTTTACAATTTGCAGCCGTGCACTGCACGGTGTAGCATGCAGTGACTCATTCAAATTGAACATCATGAATGGACACTTGGGGAAAACCAGGCCATAGACATGGTTCGAACTTTCTTGTGGTAGAGAATGCCATGCTTCAAACTATTGAGTTACACTTAGATCTAGACCTCTAGTTATGTAAAAACATGGTTATCTACAACTTACAAGAATAAATGAGAAGCAATAGGATCTACAATTTATCTTCATCTTCTCAATCTCATCTTTATTGCAACAACGTGTTTTTTGCACATGATTTACTGGGGCGCTGGTCAGAGAATGAGGATCGTCTGCATAAGCGAAGATATCCTCGTAAACGCGGACAAATTGCTTCCTGAAAAATGAGGATCGTCAGTATTTTCACAGAGATTTTTTTTTATTGGCGCTCTACAGGTCTTTTTGGTTTCCGAACCGCGCGCTAGCGATGCGAAAATAATAAAATACCCCCTGTTCACCGTCTACTTTTATGGGTTGTCTGTCTTCCCGATCTTATCGCCCATAACGTGAAAGTCTCCGTCCGAGGACCTCTGCCAAAATAGATCTTGATCAATGTTCACCATGGCCAGAAACACAAGATACAATCCAGGGGCAGTGTGCAAGAAAGGTCGAATCGTGTTGCCAATTTGATGCTGACTTAACGACAATAGCAGTTAGTGTAAAAAAAAGGATGCATTTAAAGAGTCACTAAATTCAGCAAACTCAGCGAGCACTTACCATGTATTTAAACTCATCGCTATTGTTAAGTCAGCATCAAATTGACAATGTAGAGTAGATGCTGCGGTTTGCAGTCACCGGTTTGAGGCAGGTCCATCGTTTGCACTGCAAAATCACTTCATGCGCATTATATCATACATGTGTACACACAGGGTACATACCAATATCACAGACAAACAGCGGATCTTAGCAATGAAAACGCATTCATTAATATCACATTTTAGCAATGCAATTGGCAGTCCTAAAACAAAATGTTGAAAATGCGCATTTCTTAAGCGAAGCGTTAGGCAACGTGGTTTAACATTTTGTAAAAGCTGTATTTCAAGAAATTTTTAGATTCAGATCATGATTTTTTTATGTGTTGCAAGTTCAAAAATGTGAGATTGCATGTTGCTGTCATTAATATTAAGATTTAAGAAAAGATAAGATAAGATAAGATATTTAGTTGTCTTTCTTTCAAATGTCACAAAGAGTATCACATTAGATCATTACACATTTACAATATTTGATATTCAATATGTCGGACAGCGACACTCCAGCGATAGCTCTATCGCTGCTGCCGTTTGTAGATGCATCGCATGCAGGGAGCTTGTGGGGCCGACTTGGGCTCAAGCTCCTGGTTTGTGATTTTTTGATAGAGTTAATTGAATTTGTACATGGGGCCACAGACCGATTCAGCTACATGTACAAAACTGGAATGCTGCAAACCGGTTCAAAAACAGGGAAAATGAAAATTGATATTACCGTGGCAACTCTTTCTTTTTTTAAAGGATTTTTCTTTTTGTTCAAACAGTAACTATATGGACTCCAATTAATTGAGTAGAAAGTGAAAATAATTCTGGAATAAGAGTTATGAAATTGGGTTTTGTCGTAATTGTCCGCAAACCAAATTAAGTCACTCTACATTGTGTGTACCAAAGTCACTCTACATTGTGTGTACCTGTCCAGGCAAGTTCTTGATATTCTTCCTGAAGAACAGGATTTCCTGTATTATACTCCTATCATCTTATGTACAACATGTTCATCCTTTTTCATGTGAATGGTCAAACGCAGTAAAGTGTGATTATACTGATTAATATACTACTTCATAGACTATCACACTTATTTTTTCTTTGTTGAAATCGAGAAGCTTGCAATAGATTCCAGTACCATCCACTTAACCCAAACAACGAAAGACACTTGCATGTTGATAATTAGATGTAGATCAGATAATGATTCTTATTGCAATGCTAAGAGATAAGAATAAATGTGTAACTTCCTCATTCATTTTCTCTCCAAGTACTGAACTTACAAAGTGTGTGTACATGTATAAAAAAGATGTAGGCTGGACTTGTATTTTTTAGCTTGTACAGTTGAGTGAATTTATACTCCTTGAAAATTTGATATTTTAGGGTTTTTCATAACTCAGAATTAATCTCAGTTCTAAGTAGCCTTAAGATTTGAATCTGAAAATATATTTAAAAAATACAGCTTTCTGTTTTAGTGTTAAGACTTCTCTATTAATTTCTCTACACACAAAGAATAGTTCCCAAACTAAACTAGTGAATAAAACCCAGCCTGATAGAACCTTTGTATATGTTTTTCTATGTGAAGATAGCAATAGAACCTGCATCCATGTACTTAGTCTAACCCACATTTGCTTATAATATAAAACATGGTGACCTTGCTTGGTTGATACAGTGAGCAATGTACTATACATGTAGGCATATAATGTGCATTGAAAATATCTCTACTTGTGAAACCTACAGCCTTTTCACACACAGCTAAAATTCATCGTATCTAGAGATGATTAGAATCACTCAACAGTTTTAAACATGTTTATAGACAAAATTTCCCAGTGTGAACATCGTTTATACGATGTTGGGATAGATACGAAGTTGCGATCCATACGCCCCTAAAAGCAGGCTGCAGATACGAAGTTCGTATCTAGAGAGCTTGACATTTTGTGTGTGAAAGGAAATTCGTGTTTAAACGTGTTTAAACTGGATGGAGCGTGCGCTTTGATTGACATGACATGACCTTCAATGCGCAATGGCACTACTGCGCATTTTACGAGCAGTAGTTAATCACGAAACTATTAACGATCGCAACGAAATTTCTGTGTGTGAAAGGCTCGTGATTAGTTTAAACACGTTCGAAAGACGTTTATACTAGTCATGTTTATAGAATTTTAGCTGTGTGTGAAAAGGCTGATAGTGCTTGTGCTGACACTCGGAGATCAATTTCGTTAAGAGCGGAACTCATTGAACTGTAACGTAATACAATGAAGTATGCCATGAGTATATTAGACAAGTGTTTGATAGCGTATTTCAGTCATCAAATACTATGTGTTTAGTATTAGTATGTATACAGTCCATCATCGTATGCATACATAGAGATATGTTTGTACTAGACAAGCCTTCATGCATACTATATTTGTTATACATGTATGTCATGTAGGAATACGGGTCTGGCAAAATTAGTTTAGTTCATGAATGATGTAAGAAATCCCCATCACTCTATACATGTATGGTACAGTCAAACCTTCTCCAGTGACCACCTTTCTGCTAAGACCACTTTTTGTGTTTCCCTTGGGTGGTCGCTATATGAATATGACTCTATACTTATGTACATAGACAGTGAGATACCAGTCTATTGTAGGTGCAATTGTGCATGCTTATATTTTGTAATGGAAACGGGAAGTAACAAGAAAATAAATATTAGATATTTGAATTGAATGTCAGCTGAGGAGGGGGAAGAGGGGGAAGTTCAACAGATTGATGTATAATTTCATGTACATGTAGGCCTCAAGCAAAATGTTGGCCTACATTTTTACATGCATGTCTTAATTAAAACATGTCTTCCTGCTACAGTGTACATGTACATGTACGTTATAGAATAAACTGATTTAGAAGGTAGAAGCACAGTATTCAATTTGTTTATTATTATCTATGATTGACAGGTGACCTTGCCTCCTGTTGCATGCATGTCTTGGTGGTTTCTTGTTTGGGGCGATATTCCTGCGCCCCTCATCTTTGAAATATCATGTACTTTTACTTGTAGGCCTAATGAAGTTCAAATTGATGAACTTGTCAAAGTGCCTTTAAAGCCCCACTGCACTAGTTTGGCCAGGAGGGATTGGACCTCCCTGCATGGTCACTGACATGTTGTTTTCTCATCAAATCGGCTCTCAATTAATATAAGACACAAGGGAGATCATGGGGGACCAATGGTCACCGATTGGGCATTGTTTACTTTATAGAGGGCGCAACTAGCTATACATGTAAGTAGTGCAGTGGGGCTTTAAGCCAAGTGCTAATATTAATTTGTAGCTTTTTATGAATTTGTTATGAAGCAGTAACTTATCGAGGGAGGTGGGGAAGGGGGGGGGGGGGAGGGCTAGGTGACAGATGTTCATGTACATAAATAAGTTTGTTGTTCATACAGTATATGGGGTTGTTCATACAGTATATGGGGTTGTCAGAGGTGTACTGGGGAATGAGACATTTTAAAAGGGGTAATGTGGGTGATGGATTAACTGATTTGGGAAGACCGGGGAAGTAAGGATTAAGATATATTGAAGACAAAAGAGAAAGATTTGGGGATAAAGAGAAGTAAGACAGCATAAACTACTCCCTAAAGGTTTTAACACTTTGGTTCGGGTGCGGGAAGGAGCCAATTGCTCGATCGGGAGCGGTTCGTGTCTTTGTTTCAGCGTCCATTGCGAAATTTCTGGTCACCATTGGGCAGCTATCAGGCAGTTATTAAACAAGAACGCATGCACAGATTTTGGGAAGCACCCAAACTACGGGAAGCTCCGCTCTTGATCCGGAACCAAAAGGATTAAGGAGGGGTAGGATGAGAAAGAGTAATAAGAAGCTTGTGGAACAAAATCAGTATCATCCCAATTGTGAAGATCAGAAAACTATTTTTTCACTCAAAATGAATTTAATGAAACATAATTTTATGCATTTGTTATGCAGTATGATTAAGAGGAAATTGCATATTACACCCAATATAAATTTAGCAAAGGAAAATCGTTATCTTTATTTAAATCTGGACACTGCTCTTTTCATTAAAGATAACATTATGCTTTTTAGACTTTTTCCTGATTTAATCTCAATCTCTTGCATCCTGCTAACACTGATTTTGTTTAGTGGGGGGGGGGGATTTGTTTGTT